TCTTATTAACCCTAGAAAGATAACCATATGACAACGTACGTAAAAGATAACCATACGCTTCAGAGGCGCATGCTTTTCTAAGGCGTCAATTTTATACTAACAATGGATATTTATTTAAGTTAATCTAGTCATTTTAAAGGTTTGGCATTATCGTAAAAATAAAATGCATTTATATTATATTTTTTTATATTTTAAGTAATTTTAAACTTAAATCACTAGACCTCTATGAAAAATTAACAAAAATCAACAGTCTTCGCAGGCGCCTCTGCGATGTAGGTTATCTTTCTCGGATTAAAAAAGAAATCGTAAATGACTCTACGAAAGTTAACAAAATCTTTGCCGAGAATTCGATTTAAAATTACAATGTAGGAAAATTTGATGTACGATTTTTCCTCACCGTTTTATCACGGTTTTAATATAAAGTCAACTATCATGTAATTATCGAAGGTATATATACTTCACAAGGATTTTTAATTAATTTTGAATGATCAGAGCTGATGATAATTTCACAAAGCTCGATGATTGCAAACGGTTCAGCAAAGTTTGAAAATTAAAATTAAAAGCTCCACTGTACGGTTTTCCACGTTTTCTATAAACATCGAGCATGTATTTCGTTAATTACCACTTTTATAAAAATCAATATTTTTAATACATCTCGAGATCAATACTATTTTTTAGTTGCTATGATATTAAAACAATAATACGTTACCCTCACGTTTGCTAACTTTTAATTTTCTACCCTATTTCGTCGAATTGATCATCGTAGGCCACGATTTACAATAGTGTTTTCGGAAGACCGTGATCACGGCGCTGTGCAGAGCACGTTGCCGAATCGATTTCACGTCAGCACATTTATTTCCGTGAGTATCTAAACGAAGAATTCGCTGGCGGCGGCGGCGTCGGCGGCGGCGACGTCTGAATTTTAATGAGAGCAATGTTTCGTAAACGTTAAATTATAATTTAAAATCGTGAATGGAATATATACATATTTTATCAGGGCGACAACAAGGCGGAAATTAATGTGCATTTAATTGAATTTTGCTGGGAGAATTTCATGACGAGTAATTTCAACGATCGTTTCACGTTTACACAGCAATTTCACCGATCGTGGAAGCGCACAACAATTGAGAAATGCTTGAAGTATTCGGAACGCTCTCGAAATGACCGATTAATAGTTGTAAATAGATTGCGAATTGTCATGTGCAGCATACACTTTCTGCGGTAATTACACGAAGCAGGAATTAAATAGAGATTTGTTTTGTTTCTCAATTAATTTTAATGAACGTTAATGGATCAATGAATTTGTTCTAATTTAGCTGCTCGCTTTTGTCGCAAGCGAACCGGGGATTTTATGCATTTGTGACGAAATTGGGTGAACGAAATTCGGCACAGTGAAGACAGAGAATGTAAAAATATCGTTACATGATTTTCAATTTATTGAAACTATTGAAAGAAGAAATACATATTAATTCACTGAGTCTGTAATCGATGCAGACAATTTTTATTTTTGCATAAATAATCACGATACAGACAAAAATGTATAAAATCTGCAGTCTACTCACAAACACTTTCAGTACATTCTGCTTACAATTTCCAGTAGTTAAACAATTTATGGTATTATATTGTTGTGACTATTTTAACTAGAAAACACCAAAGAATGCATTCGATCCAAAATTGTTTAAAAGCTTGTAATAAGTAAACGTACGAGTGTTTTCATTTCTGGATTGAGAAAATTGAAGACTTCAAACAGTGAAGTAATGTTTAAAGTAGTAAAAACATGACGAAAGAACGTATATAATAAAATAATATACACACATTATTATTTAAATGATTATTCTGAAAATTCCTGTTTTTATGAATATTTTTTATTGAAATTTGCGAACGTGAACGTAGGATAATAATAGCATTCATTTTGTTGTTAATATTTACCCTAGCATGCATTTTACAAAATTGCATGTACCATAAATGCATAAAGATCCGCAGTTTAGTAATCTTTGTACGTATTCTTTTTATCTTTTGGACAGCGCCGTCATTGTGGAAGCGCCCTGCATATTCAGGTACTGGTTCCGCGATATAAAACCGGTGACTAGAGCTTGAGTGACAAGCCGCGCGCTGGGTGTCCTCGAAAAGCGGAAGATGAAGATTTGCAAACACTGTTCGATAAAGACCCGTCATAAACGCTGAAACAGCCTGCAGGTCAGTCAGTTCAGAGAACGCTTTATAACTGTGTCAAAGCGATTCCACGTGTCGGCGAGGATATAAAAGATAGCAATTAATCGTGCCGCACTTATAATCCGCTAAATAAAACGCAACTCTCAACTAAAATGAAGTTTTCATGCTTTTTTTTATGTATACAGTTTACAATTTTATGGGCCATTTTAATGAGATTAAAATCATTTTACGTAGTCTGTTCCGCGATTTAACGTAGCACGAGTGCAATTGTTTCGCTTATTTTGAAAGTAATTAGAATTAATTTCTGTTTCCAGGGATAAATTTAAAATTGTCGGAGTTTCATGCACAAGTTACAATTTTACGGATCGTTTCGTTGAAATTATAACCACTTTGTGTAGTCTATTCCACTATTTATCACACGCTATGAATAAAATAGTTTTATTTACTGGATTAATAAAAGAGTATTTTTATAAACTGATCTAAAATTGTCGGTATTTCATGTCCTATTTACAGATTTATGGACCACTTATTGATATTAAAATCAATTTATGTAGTCTTACAATTTCTAGTATTATTTATTGGATTAACAAAAATAAAAGTATATTTTAAAGAACAAATTTGAAACTGTTAATGTTCTATGCACAATTCACAATTTGATGGATTATTTTATTAAAATTAAAATCATTCGTTGTAGTCTACAAAATATGATTTATTTACTAGAGTAATTAAAAAATTGACTTTTATAAATTAATTTAGAATTATTGGAGTCGAATAGAAACGATTATTTTCATACTATGAGCATCACGATCGCGTTGTTAATATGAACAAATTATTTCACGTGCCGTGAAGTTGCTCATTTACCCATCACTTTTATCAGTTTCATAATTCGTGAAATATTGCACTTCGTACAGGTGTATAGTTTCTGTTTTTATAAGCAAAGTTCTACATTTAATCAAAAGTTTGTAGCTTAATGGCAAAGCCACGAAAGTCGTAATTAGTTTAGATCTTCGTCGAGTTCCAGGAG